AAAAAAAAAGAGTAAATTGTTTTTTTCTCTATGTGTGATGGTCAGACTATATCCCAACCACCAGTTTCCCTTCAAAAGTCTCACTAAAGATAACTTTCAAACTAAAGAAATCACAAGGTAAAATTTATAATGACACACAAAAATGCCAATAAAATGACATTAATAGAAAAGCTATGAATATACATACATATTCAGGAACACCACGCATACACAAAGAAGGAATGTACCCAAGTGTTAATGGTTTATTGCTGGGTAGGTGTGTTTTTCTTATATATTTTTCAGTATTTTAGAAATTTCTTACAATGAGCATGTTTTTGCTTTTTTGTAAGGAAGAAAAAAATTAACAAACTTTAGGATTTCATCAGTTGTTTTTTTCCAGCAATACAGAGTGGCATCTTCTCTGGGAAACAACGGCCACCAGGAGGGTGGCAGGATGTGGCTTCCCTCCCCATTTCAGAGGATCACTTAGGAAGACAAAAATAGTATTTTTTTTTTTTTTCAACAAACTGTGACCTCTCCTTGCCAAACACACACAGTTGATTGTCTTAAAAAGGCAATTCATTTCATTCCTGGGGTGACAATCTTCCTAAGTCAGTGTCTTTGGCTTGTCTATAACTAGGGTACTTACTATGATTGTTCTTTTAAAGAAGATCTTGTTGGAGAAAGCAAGTCCAGGACAGAGTAGATGGTAGGTTAGAACACACAAAGCGTTCTACAATGCTCACACAGTTTCTGGTAACATGACCCAGCACTGACATCCTGGTAGATAAGGTCACAGAGATGGGTAAATCCAACTAATTGTGCTGAGGTTACTAGAGAGAATTCCCTGTCCTCCCCCCAGAGCCCTCTGGGAAGGACGGCAGTGGCAGAAAGCCGTACTCACTGCGTGTGTGTAACAGTTAGCAGCATGTTCGTAGCAAGTTGGTTTGTAGCGGCCATTGGCTGGGGCCCGATGGTTCATGAACCTGTAAGAACAAAAGGACATCACGTGAGAAACGGCGGGTGAGGATCAATGAGGAAAACCGCCAGGAGGCGTTTGCTCTATGCTGAACAAAGAGAAGACAGGTGGACATACCTGGGGAAGGTCACAAAACCAAAGCTACTAAAGGGATGTAAACCGAACCAACGGCACTGATGCTAAAGCAAATGCCCTAGTTGGCTGGATTAAGGATTCTTTCAGTGTATTCAAGAGAACAAGGCCTACCAATCAAAAGCACACAGAAACCACATCCACTCCTTCGACTGGAATGCCCCTATAATTAAGAAAAAAAAAAAAGGCACAACCAAATCTTAGCAGGAAAAAAAAAGGCGGGGGTGGGGGGGATTTTCTAAACTTTAGATATTGTTATTAAATGAAAAGGGATAGGTTATATTTAAAAGCTTTCTTTTTCTCTCTCAAGATTTATAAAACTTTATATATGTAGGTCTTTAAACCCTACACCCCGTTGATTAACGGGCCTGGCCTACTAGTTTCCCAGTATTGTGTTACCTATTCTGGCATAAGGCTGCTTAAATAAATGATACCTGACTACTTCCAGGCCACCTAAAACAGGAGGCATATATATATATGTGTGTATATATATTATATATATATATTTTTAGAGACAGAGTCCCATTTTATTGCCCGGGGTTGAGTGCCATGGCGTCACAGCTTACAGCAACCTCCAGCTCTTGGGCTTAGGCGATTCTCTTGCCTCAGCCTCCTGAGTAGCTGGGACTACAGGTGCCTGTCACAACGCCCAGCTTTTTTTTGTTGTTGTTGCAGTTTGGCTGGGGCCAGGTTTGAACCCACCATCCTCAGTATATGAGGCCAGCACTCTACTCACTGAGCCACAGGCACCGCTCAGGAGGTCTATTTTTACTTTCATTCTTCCTGAATCAGTACAGTTTGATTCAACAACTAAACACATGACTACTACCCGGTATTTGGCTATCAAGTCCATATACACATACAAATGTGTGTTCTGTATCTAAATATTAAAATCTGTTCACATGTAGACAGATGCGCATTTTCTCCATGTCCCTTTGGGCTAACTTTGTGACCACCCACGAGAGTGAAAAGCATGAATCCCACAGGATCTAAAGAGATGGCAGCATCCTTCCATGAGTGTGTGTGGTAGGGTCCCCTCCACCAAACTCAACCCATACCCACAGCAGGTTTCGTGAAGGATTGGGGATCAGTCTAACTGTTCTGAATAAAAGAAGAAAGAAGTAGATGTAGAGAAACCAGTGGAAGTGAAAGGCGCCTGAAAGCATTCCGGTCTCAGAGGCCCACTGCATTCCTGTGCCTGGAGTCTGCTAGATGTCGGCAGGGTTTGTGCAACACATCATCCTTCTGCTTGAGCTAGTTTAAGTGGAGGGAATATTTCTCGCAACTAGTGAGTTCTTACAGGTCATACCTTATTCATTCATTCATTCACACGATGAAAAGCAGTACAAAGGATAAACCAAATGGCAAAGAAAGGTTGACAAAAACTGGCTACAATACATGAACAGGCCATTCCAAAGAATGCTCAGTTTATGAACAAAGCCTAGCCAATACTTCTTCCCTGAATTAAGAAAGGCCTGTTATCCTTAGATCAAAAATCTGTTGGGGGATGTATTTGAGACAATGACGATACTGCATTTGACCCACTGATGGGCTATTTAACTACCGTGTGAAGTACGTCCTGACTGAGGGTGATCCAGCAGGTGGTTCGAACGCTAACTTCTATTGAAGAGAAGTATACAGCTAGCAGCTTCAAGATTTCTTGAACCTATTCTCAAAGATAGGTAATAGGTAACTAATTTCAAGCATCATCTTTTGTCCCCTGATAATCCTTTCCATCATTTTACTAATTTCCCAAGAGACATGAGTTTTGTGTTGCTATATACAGCTCTGATTAGCAAAAAGGACAATAATCCCATTCTTGGGAAGAATGCTTTACGAGTGTCCCAAGCATTGAAGGAGCCACCACATCATTACCCTGAGACATAATCACAGGGCTGTAAGTAGCATACCCTATCAGGAATTTTCTAGGGTAAAGAGCAAGGCCTCAAGATGGGTGAGGTTGGATTAAAGCAACAGTGTAGGGTGCAGCAAGTAGGATTTGTCTACCCACCACCAGGCTGCAGACTAAAATAGCAATTTATATCTCTGACAGCCCCATCTAAAAATAGTTAAGCCATTACCCAGCAAGAAGGATAGACTTTCACATTTTCTCCTAAAAGCAAATAAACTGGATGGCCATGTTTGTGACGGCTTAGTCCCTGCCCACCTGGAATAATTCAGGTTAAAAATAAATAGAAAGTTGTTAAAAAAAAAAAAAAGTCACCCATGGTGCCTTAAGGCAGCCTCTCCTAGTGGACAGTGCAAGATCTGGGCAATAAGCAAGGTGAGGGCAACTCTCCTGGGAGCAATTCACTGTCTGGGGCACAAGGGGATAGATGGCACAAGTGTTCTGCTGGGAAATTACGAGATGGTTTTTCCCTTTCTCTCTGACCTGCCAGAATGCAATCCAGCCTCCTCCACAGTCTCCTGAAGAAATCACTCCTAAGACCTAAATGGAAAAGCAGATATAAAATGCATATAAATTCTCACACACTTGGCTGAATCTCTTCCCCAGAAAAGAATAGGAAAGATGCAAGTATGAAAGACATCTCTACTTAAGGCAGTGATGGTAATGGTCACCCAACACTGAAGCAGGCGCCAGAACAGTGGTTCTCAACCTTCCTCATGCTAAGGGCCTTTAATACAGTGAGAACCGCTGCACTAGAGGGTTGGAGGGAAGGTGATTTAGTCCCAGGAATGGGAACCACATGTAAGAAAGCTATTAGTTAAGCAGGGATAGTTCACTTATCCCCCTACTTTCTCTTTCAACTCTCTCTCTCCCCCTCCTTCCTTGCCCATTGTCCTTACTCACCTCCCAAACCCACGAGCAGAATTTCAAAACCATCAAGTGAAAGAACATTCCGGGCCTGGGGACACTCCTGAGCACACAAGCACACTTTAAATTCAGCCCAAAGCCTCTGCCCACTGAAAGCAGACCTTCAGATCTCAGAGGCCTAAGATCGCATCCCACAAACTGTCCTCATTGTCCTAGTGCAAGCCATGTCAACACCACCTTCAAAATGTATTCCATCAGTCCACCTCTCTACAGCTCTACAGTTCCACAGTTCCTACCTTAAATCAAGACAGTGACATCTTTACAGGTGTGCAAAAATATGAAGTCTCTTAACCAGTCTTCAGGCTAAAAGGGAGCAGGCTTCATAAAGGTCAAAAACGGTGGCTATTCCAGAGTCCCTTCAACATCACTTGGTGTTGCAATATTAAGTCCCCACAAGGACTCCTCTTTATACAGACATAATTGTCTATTAAAACCAGATCATATCACATATCCCAAACTCAGCTTAAAGCCTGCCTTTGGGCTTTCCAAAGTGCTTAGGGCAGAATTGCAACAAGTCCTGACGGATGTGGCCCTTACAACTTTTCCAGTCTCAGGGTGCTACTTACCTCTCATTCCACCCTCCAGCCTCGCTGCCTCCTTACTGCTCTTTAAACAGGGCAAGGTCTCCTGTGCCTCAGGGCATTAGCAAGTGCTATTTCTTTCTTTCTCCCCAGGACTTTCTTCTCCAAAAACGCTCAGCTCTCTCCTCATCCTTTAAGCTCAGCCCAGATGTCACCTCCTCAGAAAGGTTTTCCGGACCATCCTACCTAAAGTGTCACTTTAGCCCTCCCCACACAACCAGAGTTCTTATCATAATTGGAAGGAATATGCTTTTTAAAAAACCAGTTGTTGTTTCATCTTTCCCCACTATAATGTGAATTCCATGAAGGGGCTGTCTTGGTTCCCATCTCATTTCCAATCCCAAACACAATGCCCAACTTACTGCTGGAGCTTACTAATTGCTGAATGAATGGACAGATTTTCCAGCTATTGCTGAACTATTTTGTCTTAACAGAGACATCAGCCATAGTCAAGTAGTTTCACTAGGAACTCAGCAGTTTCTGTAACAGCAATAGCCAGTCCCGGAGCTAAAAGAACCCTGAATCTCGACCAGGCGTTGTGGCCCAAGACGGTAATCCTAGCACTCTGGGAGGCTGAGGCGGAAGGACTGCTTGAACTCAGGAGTTTGAGACCAGCCTGAGCAAAAGTGAGAACCTGTCTCTACTAAAAATAGAAAAAAACTAGCTGGGCATGATGGAGGATGCCTATAGTCCTCATTCCTTGGAAGCTGACACAGGAGGCTGAACCCAGCAGTTTGAGATTCCTTTAAGTTAGGAACCTGAACATTTTGGAGAAGAATGTTCAGGCTACAATACCCTGAAGCCAGGGTATTATAGCCGGGAGCGACAAAGTAAGACTGTCTCAAAAAAACAAAAACAAACCTGAATCTCAGGAAAAGAAAACTCTTAGAGGCCAACAAGACAATGGATATTCCAAGGACCCCTTCAGCATCACTTTATATTGCAACACGAGTCTTTCCCAGCATAAGCACCTTACTACTGGCTCCCCTTTAGGACTGAACATGGTATTATTAGTCTAGGAATACTGTGCACCAAGATGTCAAGAGTGGTACTCTTGACTTAATGAGACTACCCTATGCATGTGATTCAATCCTCTGAGAATATGCAAAAAAGACAACAGGCAGCCTTGGAAGACTTCTTATGCATGAGAAGGCTTTCCATATTTTATTTTGAAGCTAACCAGTGGTCAGAAGGCTGAGGTTGAGGAGAAAAGAGCATCCTCTTCCTTAGATTTTTGGATGCAAAGCTAAAGAGATGCTTATGCACCAAGAAGATGTGGTAGATGCTCTCTGTAGGCCTCTATGCTGCACACACAGATGTGGTGGTGTGGGAAAGAAGTGAGTTAGCAGCATGGGTGGTGGGGAGGGAGAGACAGGAAATCGATCTCTTGGGTCTGTCCCTTCCTAGCTGCATGACCACGGGCAAGTTCCCTTTTATCCTCTTCTAAACATATTTGCCCTTCTATCTAGTAGGTATAAAATGCATGCCTTCCAGGGTCACGACTGAGGATGAGATGAGTAATATACAAGCACCCAGCCAGCGGCTGGCAGAAGTAGGTACTCACTAAATGTTAGCAATTCTCATCAGTCATAGATCCTGTGAAGGGGAGAGAATGTGTGTGTGTGTCTATGTGGGGGTGTCTTAGGGAGACTCAGGCATGAAAGGGATAAAGCAAGGAAAATAAAATGTGTCTCTGTGCCCAGTGGAATTTTTTGCATGCTAGGCTCTCTGAGAAGCCATGATTGCATAAGCCCTCCTTGTGTTCATCAATCCAGCCCTCACAAACCTATCAGGGGAAGGAGCACATCCTCCTTCAAAGGCAGTGTGCGCCCCTTCCAGTTCCTTTGTGATTCACCTATCTGTAACTATGGTGAATGCTCAGAAAAATGTATATTGAGCACAGCCTTAAAAGGGGGAGAATAATACTCCCAACATGTTACTGTCTGAAACAACCGATAAGGACTTTCTTGTTATATTAGTTTGGTTTTTGCAGGCTTTATTTCCAAGTTCAAACTGATGTTCAGAAGTTATCTTTCCAATCTAGCCTATAATAGAGAAACAGGATATTATAAGATCATTCAAATCTTCAAAGAAAATCAGAATAGGTCTAGATATTGTTGAGAAAGAAACTGTTAAATATCCATTGACTACAATGCTTTCCACTCAGAAAATTATAGTCTACACCACATCAAAAGAAAATGCTAATATTTTTAAGTGAAAATACAAAGTACAAAATCAATTACAACTGTGCCAATAGGGACTGGAGAGATTGTGTTCAGCAAAAAAAAAAAAAAAAAAGTCATTTAAAATCAGCTGAGATGGTAGCATCCTAAGTGGGGTTTTTTTTTTCCATTTCTTTTAACACTGTTTTAATGTTCGTGCGACATATAATAATACTGGCTCTTTTTCTTTTCTTTCTAAAGAAGAACTCAAAGGGAAAGGAAGAAATTCAAACTCTTAATCAAATAGGGAAGGGGTAATTTCACAAAATATTGCCACTGTTCTCTGAAAACAGGAAGAGCACAGATGTGCAGAGAAGTAAAACCAAATCAAATAAACCACATGCACAGGGCTTCACTGATCATGCCCCAACACATGTTCCATTCTCCCTTAAAGCCCCTCTAGTTTTCATTCCTGACATCAGGTTCTAAAGCCACAACACTAGGCTTCCTTTTTGGCTTCAGAAGCACTGACATCAAGTTCCCACTGGGGGAACAGTGCCAGGCATTCAACACCCTGAGTGATGAGCAACATTCGCAAGTCAATCCAAGTCTTCAAGCTGATACTCCCCTGGTAACACAGACCACCACAATTCTTCCTGTGCGTGTTTTGGCTCCTTTACCCTTTGAGACCGGGGGAGGAATGAGAGAAGCATAATGAGTGGGTGGGCAGTGAGGAAATAGAGACTGGGGAAAAAAAAAAGAGCACTTTAAATTTCTGAAATAAAAAAACAGCAGTGTTTAAAAGCTAAGCAGCAATCGCCACCTTGGATGATTTCATGCATTTCTCCCCTGCCACTGCACACTGAGCTAGCCAGCTGGAGGTGAGGGGCCGGGGAGTGGGGATGGCTTTCCGATTCAGACAAAGGATGGAGAATTACCGCAAACACAGGAAAGGTGAACTTTCACCCACTTAAACGAAAAATAAAGGCCCAGGTTCCTCTGAGAACCATGGGCGAGCCTGCATCCGCTGCCAGACGGCAGAAACCCCAAGTGGGGGAAGGCCACCGTGCGCCCCCAGCCTGGTGTTCCCACCAGCTCCCGGGTGAATGAGCAGCCCGCCAGCCTTCCGGTGGCGCCTCCTGGGTTCCCTCTCCTCCTTTCCCAACACAGGCTCCTACCCGGCAGGTCTCACCACCCGAAGGCTAACTTGCCCCTTCGCAGATCCCAAAATAGCACCGCCCTGGGACGCTAAGCTTGACAACCAGCAAGGCCTGACACTGCCCGGCAAGGCTAAGCCAGCGGGGCGTGCCTCAGTTTCCCCATTGCTAGAGCTGTTCACAGACAAGACCTAAACCTAAAACGCCCAGCACCCCCACTTTACGACAAAGCCCTCAGCAGGGAGCAGCCGCTAACCCCCCAGTTCCGCGCGCCCTGGGAGACCCCCATTCTGGAGGCTTATAAAGGGACAGAGCCCAAAGCCAGGAGGGTCAGAGGACTCCGGAGAGGGGGCGGCCCCCGAGGCTGGGTTCGTTCGGGTCTTCAGAGCTAGCAAGAGCCCAGCCTGCACGGGAGTCAGGAGGGTGAAGCCCTGTGAGCAGAGGGATCTTAGGGAAGGAGGGCAGGCTCGGGGTGCTGGGTGGGTCTGGGAATCTACCCCAGGTTCACAGATCGCGACGGAGACCTGGGTCAGGCACCAGCCCCCGTCCTCAGAGGAAGGGGATCGCCCAGGGCCAGCAGGGCGGGGAATCTCCCCGTAGCTGGTCTCCGGCCAAGCCTCGGGATCCACCAGGGATGGATCCAGGTGAGGAGCCGGGACCCACGCGCGTACAGGCAAGATCTGGGGACCGCTCCGGGCATGAGCGGCGGGGCAGGGGGCGCCATCCCTCTCACCGCTGGAATCGATTCTTGAACCGCATTGATCCTCCACTCCTCCTCTGGGGCCCGGAGCTCCGTCTTGTCAGCACCGGCGGCCGGGTGCGCGGCCCTCATGGGCTTGGGCTGCTCCGGAGCCCGCCTGCGTGCCCCACGGAGCCGCTCGGCCGCGTGGGCCGGAGTGGGCCAGGCTGGGGGTCCAGACAGGGCCAGGGCTAGACCGGGCGGCTGGGGGCGGGAGGGAGGCCGCTTAAACGGCCCCAGCGCCTCCCGCCTCCCGGGCTCCTCCGCCCCCGGGCCCACGCCCCGCCCCGGAGCCCGGCTCCACCCCCGTCCGCTCCGCCCGCCTGCGTGCACCCGCGGCAGCCAGCGCGTCAGCGCGCGAGCGACCAATCAGCGTCCGGAGCGGCGCGGCGGCCACACTGCCATTCATTCCCGCCGGACTCGGAAGGTGGGGCGGGGCCTCGCGGTGGGGGCGGGGCTAGGGATGGGGCGGAGCGCTGGAAGGCGGTGCATTCCATAAGGGTCCAGTTGGAGCTTGAAGTGAGCTGACAGAGGAGGAGAGAAATGGCAAGGGAGGGGATGATCCAAGAATCTTAAAGGCAATTGTGAAAGAAATAGCAATCAAACACCCCGTCTCATTCATTCATTCTTCATCAATCATTTCTCCATCCCTCCATTCATTTATTCCATTGTCTTTTCTTTTTCTTTTTTAGAGACAGAGTCTTACTTTGTCGCCCTCGGTAGAGTGCTGTGGCATCACAGCTCACAACAACCTCCAGCTCTTGGGCTTAGGCGATTCTCTTAGCCTCAGCTTTCCAAGTAGCTGGGACTACAGGCCTCTGCCACAGCGCCCGGCTATTTTTTGGTTGCAGTTTGGCCAAGCCAGGTTCAAACCCGCCACTCTCAGTATATGGGGCGGGAACCCTACTCACTGAGCCACAGGCACCTCCCAATTCCTTCATCTTTTCGAAGGCAAACTCCTGCTAGGCTATTCTGAGAGGATCCAGGGCAGCATAAAAAAACATTCTTCCTTTGTCAGAGAAGAGGGTGGGGATCTCTCAGCCATAGTCTGACAGTCAATGAGATCCATAAACGAAGGAATCCTCTACAAGGATCTTTTAAGGTTATCTTACAGTACGCTTTTTAAACAACTTTTTATCCAGGCAGCTTCCCAATATGTCAAAAAGTAGACTTGAATCAGGATCCTGTAGCTATATCCTCTGAACTCAGAGGGCTTCCTGGGACAGAAGTTCAAGGAAAAATGAATGAATGAGTGATTTGTTGACCCTTTCCAGGATCACTCCTGGAAGTCAGGTACAGTCTCCACGAGGTATCCTGTCCACACCCGTTCCCCACTCCCAAACTGGAGGCCGTCAAGGGGCCTTTAGGCCCACCTGTTGGTAGCGTTTAACGCCATCCGCCTGCAATGAAGCGTTGGAAAGCTAGGGAATTTTTTTCACCCATAATTTCAGTTTCTTTTTCTTTAACCTTTTCCAATTGCTGGGATATAGAGGGGTGCTTTCCACACTTATTGCACTGATCTTGCCAAAAACTCCTACAGATAAGCAGTATCTCACTCATTTTACACATAAGTCGACAGAGGTTTTAGAGAATATAAAAAATTGCCGATGGGAAAACTAAGGTTCACACCTAGCTTCCCCTAACATTACAGACCCATATCCTTTTAGCCTACCAGTCTGCCTCTCCGCGTTTTAAAGTAGTACTGGTCTCTTTAGAAAAAAAAAAAAAAAAAACCTTCTCCCCGCCTCTCACCCACCCCCACCATACAGGAAGTCAGGAAAATGAGTGTGGCTTGAAAATCTACTACTAATCACTTATGTTGGGCCCCTGGGCTATACAATTAGTGAGGGAGGGGGTAACAAAGGAAATAAAGATAGGGGAAAATTAACCATATGTAATAAAATAAGAAAGGTTAAAAAACAGTGAACCTCAAGAGTAACAAATGTACCACCCCGTGAATGGCTGCTGATAATGGGGGAGGCTGTGCATGTGTGAGGGAGGGGGGATTTGGAAAATCTCTGCACTTTCCTCTCAGTTTTGCTGTGAACCTAAAATGCTCTAAAAATAGTCTTTAAAAAAAAGAAAGAAATGCAGTACTGTTACTTACTACAACATGGATGAACCTTGAAAACACTATCAAATGAAAGAAGCCAATCACAAAGGACCACAGAGTGTAGGATTTCATTTATATGAAAGTTCCAGAACAGGCAAATCTATCAAGTCAGAAAGTAGATTAGTAGCTGCCTAGGGAATGGGAGGGGCTTGAGAAGTGGTAGCTAACAGGTGCAAGTTTTTTTTTTTTTCGGAAGGGGCAAATGAAAATGTACTAAGATTGTGGTGATGGATGCCCAATTCTGTGAAGATCCTAGAAGCTACTGACCTGTACACTTTAAATGGGTGAATTGTATGTTGTTAGGGATTATATCTGAATAAAGCTGTTAAAAGATTACTTTGAAAAATTCAGTTTCTGTAAAAATCAAAATTGAAAACAGACTATAAACATCTGAAGGACAGATTGTCTTGCTCATGTGTGTATTTTTGAAAACTTTTCACAGAAGCTGTCATAGAGTAGGTGCTCGGTCACTAATTAATGATGTGGATTTAATTAAAAACAACCAGAAGGCAACAGCACAATGGACCGACAGATGTCAGATCACAGACTCTCAATGACTTAGGGATGTGTAGAGATAAGCAGTGAACAGGGGATGGTGGGGCCAAAAAGAAGGAGGTGCCAGAGAGAAAGAAGTCTGAAGATGAATTTTGTGAGAGATGATGGTCACAGTTTGGCACAGTCTTTACCACAGGGAGAATGGCTTGAGCAAAGGTGAGGAGTAGTCAGTACAGGGAAAACTTGGGAGAGGCTACCTAGGTTTAGAAATGCCAGTTTACCCAAGGGGGGGAAATGAGTGAGTTAAAAAAGATTAAGGCTGGGCACTGTGGCTCATGCCTATAATCCTGGCACTCGGTGAGGTGGTGGGGGGTGGGAGTGGAATCACTTGAACTTATGAGTTCAAGACCAGCTTGAGCAAAACTTAGATCCCATTGCTATTAAAATAATTAGCTGGGCGCTGGGCGCTGTGACTCAAGCCTGTGATCCTAGCACTCTGGAAGGCCAAGGCAGATGGATTGCTTGAGTTCAGTTTAAAACCAGCCTGAGCAAGATAGAGATTCCATCTCTAAAAATTAGCCTGGAGTTGTGGCAGGCGCCTGTAGTCCCAGCTACTTTGGAGGCTGAGGCAAGAGGATCACTTGAGCCCAAAAGTTGATGTTGCTGTGAGCTATGATGCCTCAGCATTCTACCCGGGGGGGGGGGGGGACTAAGTGAAACGCGGTCTCAAAAATAAATAAATAAATAAATAATTAGCTGCGAGTTGTGGTGAGTGCCTGCAGTCCCAGCTACTTGGGAAGCTGAGGCAGGAAGATCCCTTGAATCCAGGAGTTTGAGATTTTTGAGAGCCACTGCACTCTACTAGAGACAACAGAGCAAGAGGCCGTCTCAAAAACAAAACAAAACATCAAATTGGGTTAAATAAAACACCTTGATCTACAGCAGTATCTTCCACAGAAATGCGGAAACATTAAGTGAAAGTGGCATATTTAAACAAATAGGATCACAAATTTAAATTAAGCTCATTGTTCTTGACACCCATCCCCCGAGGTAAAAGCAAGCCTCAAAAGAGAAAAATAAAACTCAAGAAACAGCTTTGCACGAACCATATAAACACTTGCTACATTTTTTTTTTTTACATGAACTGTCTTTTTGAATTTGTTTCTGAGAAGGAATCCCAAGGGTGTTTGCAGAAAGAGCTACTAGATCTGTTTAGAGATTAGTGGGGTGGGAGGTGAAGATGAGGGATGGTTTTTCAGCATTAGCAGGATGTGACACTTTTGTTGAGCTCACAGATATAGTTTTTGTTTCTGCAAAACTGCAGGTAATACATTTGCACGGGCACTTTCTGTGCCCATAAGAAGGAATTCATGACGAAGCAGATGCCGGATGAAACTTTGGGGAGACAAAACACCTGCTCTGCTCACGGAGGGAGTTCCTGGACAGGTTGCTGGCTGTGCTAGAAGCATCTGGGACCTGATTTCCTAGCTGTCATTATCTAATCAGAGGGGAGCTGGTCTTCTCAGACTCTGACTCCAGACATCCTGGGAAGGTTAATGCATTTCCAATCTCAGGCCTTGTTCTGTTCCTGGCTTTCAACCTGCCTTTTAGCAAATATGACAAGATAAAGCAATCTTTAAAATGGAGATGCTCCCAGGCTTCCCCCTTTGCTGAAAAGAGAAATGTTGTCTTGTCCGACTTGGTCTTCTGCCCACAACTGACGCCCTTTCAGGGATCCTTGTCTCTGCCATGTTCCGTTCCTAGACTTTCCTGATTAAAAAAAAAACAAAACAGTGGGATGAATAAAAGATCTGGAGAAAAAGAGGACTTAGGGCTCAGCGCCTATAGCTCAAC